GATTATGCATACAACTAGACAAATAATAATAATTTAAAAAGATCAAAAACAAAAGGACAGTTTAAAGGTATGAATAAAATGCTCAGTTCACAGGATGAGTGACCAAAACATTATTATCTTGAGCACTGTGCACAACACTGGCACAATACACGTTAAGCCGTTAGTCCTGGCTGCATCAGCAACGTTAACACCTACCTATCCGTATTAAGCCCGCATAGTGAGTTATGACCCATTGATCTTATTCGATTCGACTCCATTCATAGGAAAAAAAGAATTCTACCAAAATACTTCCCACGCAGACGAAGTCGCGGGCACAGCTAGTACGAAATGAAATAAACAACCAGTCTTCTCTGCTAATATCAAACAAAAGTTTAAATTATAATACATAGTTGTTTTTTATAACAAGAATAGAAAAACTAAAATAAAACTCACCAAGTTGAATTTACTATTAAACTGAGAATATTATCTATGAAAGAAAACTCTGTGTACTCGGAGATCTATTAGAAATTAGATAATAAATTAACAAAATATACCAATCAATCTAAAGGTTTATTCGGTTCACTCGCACGTCATTATTACGAATAATTATGAAAGTAGCTTTTTTAAGAAGCACAAAATCATCAGCCGTCAGCCTAGCAGCGTCACATTATTTCTTAATTATGTCTAAAAATATTTATAGGTACTTTAGCCATTTATCGAACGAGTTAAAAGTTGACATGGGAAATTTTTTGGTATCCATTTTAAGCTCTGTTCTGTGGCGCTGCCAGACTGACGACATCATAAAAGCGCCCTTGTTTATCTTATACTTCGTAACATTGCTATTTGTCCCATTTCGAAACGGCCTGCGAGTCAAGGCGCTGGCATCCTGACACAGCCGCTGCCTGCCTGTCACTCACCACGATGGATCAAAAATTCATTTCAAAATCTAAGAGGGTGGCCAAACTTTTCTATAATATCTGCTCTGGAGTGTTGTGGTACCTTCATTGTCTCAGATAATCCATAATACTCGTGCTTAAGCTACTTATCCTGGAATCTGAGTAATGTATATGAGTTTAATATTTATCATTAGATTATGAAGAAAATCGTAAAGGAAAAGGAAAGGCATTTTATTCAAACGAAGATTTATGTAATTAATTATCATAACATCTTTTATTCTATATTATTATTTTAAATTTTACATGCTTAGTTCAAACATTAAGAAAGAAATAATAATATTTAACATCTGAATAATATACAGCTCTACTGTTTATGATCCACTTAGCGATAAAATTATATTAATATATTGCAAAATATTCCATTGTTACATCGAATACCAACGCAATAATATGAGAGAAAGGACAGAGGTGGGGTGCAATCACAAGGAAAACATGACATTGAGAAAACTAAGTTTATATGGCAAACTGTATAGAGTGCGCTTTGAAGTTCACCATAACAAAATAGAGCTTTCACTTATCCATTAAATATTATAATATATACACAGACATAGTTTCTACTGGATGATATTATTAAGATTTTATCACAAAGATTTTCACTAATTTCTACAGAAACATGTAGCGTCAAAGAGCACAATGCTGTTAACTTATACATACTTCCTTTATACAAACTTTGTTCTAAAACTTATTTCAAATAATCGCGTTCAAAGCATACAATAATTTCTTTTACATTAATATAGTTTTCATTTCACTAGACACAATACTTCTAAAGCTAACAGCAAAGTGCTATTCAACAACAAGACACCAAGCGTTAATTTACATACTAGTGAACAACCAGATAGAAATATTTACAGGTCCAGTATAATACAGAACTTTCTGCTTTGACGTCATTATACTGGCGGGAGTTCTCATATCATTACTCTAAAATCGATTCAAAAGAAAAATTATAAAAACGCTAAATTCTGTCTATAATACAAAAATATAATAAAATCATGAATTACATAAAAAAGTGGCTAAAATATAATTCTGCGCTTTTTAAATTATCTATTACTACTAATGTGTTGCTTTGCCTTTAGGCAACATTTATTGCAATACGTGACTAAAACTTAATTTTTAAAATTATGCATAATAAAGTTTTAAGTAGAAGACACGAAATGTGAAAGAAAGGTCTAATTATGCGCGCAACTGCTTATTAATATAATGAAGATGTATTTCATAGTCAATAAATTAAGTGGTGTGCAAATGGAGCTCCGCAAAATCATAGTAATGACGTACGTATTAAATGCACTCCCAAAATGCTAGGACGTTCGAATATGAATTATTAATTAATAGAAATGTACCACGGAGTAGTTAAACTAGCAGATCGGTAGTTACTCAATTCAAATAGCTGTATCAAAGTATTGGTACAGTCGGCAGCACATCGGGTAATACACAAAATTACAAAAGGTCAATTTAATATGGGGGCTCCCATACTTAAAAGATAACAGAACACCCAACAAAGTAATTTTTTTATTTATGTTACCTCATTAATTAATTACAAACCAAAGACAATGTAATTTAATATCAGAATAAAAAGTTTTATTAGAAATAGATATATTAAAATTGGAATATTTCACAATAAAATTGTTTATTTGTTTCATGAATAACTTTTTTTTTATGAGATAGGGGGCAGACGAGCACACGGATCACCTGATGGTGAGTGATTACCGCCGCCCATGGACATCTGCAACACCAGAGGAGCTACAAACGCGGTGCCGACTTAACTGTAATAACTTTACTGTACAGTCTTTAGGAATCCTTCTATTGACAATTAAGTTCATTTGATTGCAGAATTTTATCCTGTAGCTGTATGTAACCTGGCGTGCTGCTGTGTGTACTTTTAACGTCACACCTGTACATTATTGGTTCTATGGACAGTTATTTGACAGAGTACGAGAAGCACGAAGTCGCTCCGTAATAAACGACTGTCTACAAACATGTTGATATGGTGAATTTCTAAAAATACTGATCAAAAAGGTACACAACGTATAATACTTTACATTTGTTACGCGCATATATGCATCGACAATTTAACTTCACCTGGTGAGAGAAAAATAAATATGGCCCGAGACTTGAAATAAAAACAAGTAATAAAACTAATATAGTAAATATAATCTGAATGCAATCAGGATTATGCAATATTGGATTATAAAAAAAAATTATACCAATAAAGTAAAAAAAAAATATCTTCAATTTTATTTAAATTGAACATAAAATGCACTATATCCATCATTAGGCTGATTCTTTAAATTTTCCAAATATTGAGCAATAATAATTAGATATAATACCGACAATTCATTTCATTAATAATGTAGTTTTACTACAACTTTTATATTTATATCTAAAACATGTTGCAAATTTATTCACCCACAAGCCAATGTTACAGAAATCGTTAGCTCATTTTATATATGTTTAATCGTTTTTCAAGTCACATTGAACTTTTCTGTATAAAAAATAGAATAAGAATAATTAGATACCAGATAAATATGAAAACGATAAATCAAGACAACAGTTATTTGTAACACTATAAATTAATCATACAGTAACGTTTTGCAACATAGCTTGTATTAATGAATGTCTGCATAGTGTTTTGTGATACACTTGCTGAGATTTGTTTAGATTCCGATAAGAATCTTGATATATTTAATCTAATAAAATATGCGATGACTTCTAAAGTCCTATCTTAATATAACGAACAGAATATTTTGCAAATGCGTGTAATTAAGGTACATTTATTCACTGGTTTGGGATGTCGTTTCGCCCAAGATTAGCCCGAGGTTGCTCACAACATTACTTTCGTTGTTTCTTAGTAGTATGACAAAGCGAGATGTCACAAAATTTTAAAATGCTTCGTATTAAACAATTAAATTATACAAAGACCATTATCGTCATAATTTTTAGTATACCCCGAGCAGCGCCCCAAATACAGAAGCCGCAACAAAATTTACAAAAACGAACGTACTCCTGGAAGCATTTCCGTCCTACTCTACTGGACTAAAAATAAACGAACTGAATGTCACTTTTAAGAGTGTAAACCCAGAAAACTAAGTCTTAAATAACATTTGACAAATTTCGAATGTATCCTTTTTTAAAGGTTATAAAATAATTTTATTAAAACTTTCTAACATCTCGCTTCGCCAACATAGGCGGCGTTAAGGGATTCTATGATACAGTCACTGGCATTAATCGGGCTTCAACTATTACCTCACCGGTACCAGCGTACTGTCCTCATTATTCAAACGATTATACCGAGTGAACGAACGTGGTACGAGTCCGCTATACTTCATAACCAAACATGCCTCACACATAACCCAGCTGCCAACAATGGCCTTGTGATATTTGACACTAATGTCTCGGTTCACGTCTCGGCAACAATTAAATTTGATCACTGCCACGTTGCAATAACGCTCAAATTCAACCCTAGCCGAACGCACGTATTCACTTAAATTATAACACAGATTTAACCTCTAAAATGGCTAATGCGATCCAAATTGAAACATCACTTAAATACGTGTGAAACGTCTAACACTAACAAGAGGACCTAGATTCTAGGACGAGCCCGTAGACCCCCTACAATATGCTAGAAAAAAGTAAAAACAAATAATAAAAACAACTATAATTTACTTAATCATTATGCGTACAAAAACTCTAGCCTTCATTCCCTAAACGCACTATTTATAGATCATTAATAAATAAATATATCAATAGGATACATAAACATAGTACATATATAAAAAATCTTTACCATTATACATACATACGTACCGAGTTGGCTTCTCACCTTTCATCTTAACTCTTCTATATACAATATGTACAAAGGGAAATAAAAACAATTTGTACTTGCAGAAAACCGTGAAAATAAAAACAAATGTGAAACGGAAATATACAAACCGCGCGGTATAGCGCCACTAACACGACTCCATAAAAAAGTTATATTAAATATATTTATAATACAAACGACGACCCGGCGCCGCCGTCAAGTGAGATTTACAAAAATATGTCTTATTACTACGGCGACGATCGACGCCTCTACCTGTCGCAGCGCTTCGCCTCCACAGCGCCATCTGTAGAAAAAAAGAACGCATTTTAACTTCTACTACACTCATAATATAAAAATAAAATAGTATAATATATTATCTTCATTTAAAAAAAAATTGATAAATTAAGTTGAAATAGGTATTATTTAGAAAATATATATGTATATGTTTACTAGGGCGTTTCATCTGGGGTGCGACCAACTCTCCAGCCATTAGGGTTTTTAGTTTCATGATAATACTTTCAGTCAGTTTCACAAACGTCCATTAAAAATCTTATTAGTTTAAAGCGACATCACCCATACAAATTTGACATTAATTAGAACTTAAAGGCGTCATTAAACCTTAATGGACGTTTGTGCAACGGGCTGTTTGTCATGTAGGTACTTCATGAACGACGAACGAATGATTATGGATTTGACAGCTGTGTTACCCTTAGTCGTTCATGAATAGAATATATGTCAAAGTAGTAAAATAAAACGTAACATCGTTAAAAAGTACAATGGAGTTAGGCAGTTGCGCTCCTGAAAGCATCATACTTATGTATATCTTATTAAGCCAGTAGAAACCTAATTGTTCTAAAACTGAGTTTGTGTACTGTATTGTTATGTATTTGTAGTAGTCTCATGTGTTCGTACCGGTGTTTTCTGTAGGCGGTCTCGCTTCTTCGTCCTCGGGCAGAGCGAGACCGAACTCCCGTCGCAGACGGGAACTCAGGTTCTCGCGCTGTCGTTCAGACGCAGTGGGCTGGGCATCGAATACGCCTACATCAATGAAAATAGTCTTAAACGGCGATGCGGGATTTTATTATAATAAGAGACTACCATAACTAAATTTTAGCAAGTCTGTAGTGCTAGCGATGTTTTTTCCTATACTAATTCGCATTAATACGTAAGGTGTTGACGGTGACGAATCCAACAGTTGTATAATAAAAGCACTATACTAAATCCGAATTACATGGGCCTGAATGTTTAAGTATATTATGAAATAAGGATGAAGACTAATTTTTGTTTGTTTATCTGTCAGGTAGATTATTGGAGAATATTAAAAACGTACTTTTTTTAATTTTTTGCGTAATCAATAAATTACGGCGATACATTAAAATTTCGCATGACGTCACGTTTTAGTACATTTTCTACAAAACTGTGACGTAGCGAGCCCCAGCTTGTTTAAATTGATGCAAAAAAATAGGTATCTAATATGTTTCTATTATCTGACTGACGGACTAAATATAATTTATTTTTTTACCCTGTCGTAATCCCTATTAAGCTTATTACTCGAATTCAATATAATCCGTAGGCAACTTTGTCACCATTATAGTGAAAGCATCATCAGTTTATAATCTAACTCCTAAATGATAAACTGATAAGTTAGAATATCGACGCTGGAAAGCAAACACGTAGTAACCCGCAAAACCAAAATGGATAATCTTTATATTTTTTCAAAATACAATATCTTATTTCTGTACAAATTTACTAAGGAGCACCTTCTTTGTTACCATGGACGTTTATAGGAATTATTTATCGAATAAAATAAAAGTTTTTCTACTCTGAAGAACAATTTTGGTTTTGTGGGTTACTGCGTGTTTGCTTTCTAGCGTCGATATAATAATTTTATTTGAGTTTAGTAATACAGGAGATATTGCACTGAAGATAATATTAAAAAATGTATTAAAGCACTTTAGTAAGGTGCCTGTTTCTTAACTACTCATAACTGGTTTAAAAATAAAACAATACACACTGGGCGTCGTGCCAAACGGCTAACCACCGTACTGCATCGTAATAAGACCGACATATTTATAAGACTATTGTTTCACGGATATTATCACATTCAATCGGCACGTACGCCGCTAAAGTTGAAGCAAATGCAAACATAAAGTTTAAACGATAAAGTTTATATTGGTAATATAACCGCTAACTTGTTTACTTCTCAGTCAAGGTCATATTATAACCATGATTCTCGAGTAACATTTTTTTAATTCCATTTCGTATCATCGGTTATAAAAAATATTATTATTATTACAGATAACCACTTGATCGCAACTCGTATAAATGGTTTTATCACATAATATGATGTACACGAATACGTTTGTTTTGTTATTGAGAGTAAACATTATGTCATACTGTGTAATTAGTATATTATTATAAAATTTTACTGATCTTTTTTTTAATTAATTACATTGACACGCCACTGGAAGTAGAACTTAACTCAAATATGACTGTTTCACTACTCTATTTCCGTTATATCGGTTCTAAAACACTTGGAAAATAATTTTCTCACCAATTTAAGAAAACAAATTGATTGTTTGGCACATTTTAGTTAAACGAAAGTCATTTCTGAAACTAATTACGTGTTGTTAACTTTTTGAATGAGGACTGAAAAAAAAAGATGACAACAAAGCAATAGGCCTGTAATTGGATAATTCAACCAATCATGCGTCAAGTGGAGTAATTCGATTCAATTGCTAGGAGTGTAACGTATTAATTAAGCCTAACGACATTCAGTGCATTGTAACTTATAAGAATTTATAAAGAAATAAAGATAACAAGAATAGATTTACAATGGGATCTAATTAAAGTTTGATAAACTTAAATAATTTTGATGCTTCAGAGCAGTCTTTTTCTGTACCTATACTAAAAATCTACCTACCTAATATATCAATTTATTCTACCATGTTTTGTTATCAGATTACCTTTACTTATCTAACGCTAATCTGTTATTAACGATCTATGAAGGTAGTTAAATGAAAACTGCCTCGAAAGGCTTCTTTACTGAGACTGTGGAATGGATGTTCGTAAATGGCCGCATCGTCCACGCATAGCTACTCTGTTGGTATTAGGGTTCCATAGCTTTTTTGTTCATCGACCTGCATGACCCGCCAAAGATGGTAGAGGCGATTGGTCTACCCGCCAAAACCCTCCGGGTCACCCTCTCGTAGTAAATTAAGGGGGGTATCCCATACATCACTCACACAAAGATTTTTTGTATTAAACCTGTAGCTACAGGCAGATAGGTTTTAAAAATTACAAATAACTTGAATTCATCACATAAATGAGTTTTAACAATCTACAGGTCAATGGAGATATCTTACAATGTTTACATAAGTCTGTAAAAGGTATACCTCCTACAAGTATAGCCCGAAAGGATCTTTCTCTCTAAAACAAGCAGAAGTAGCTTGACAGACTACGCTTTCGCAAAATTTTTCAACTGAAGACATAAGTACATAAGAGACCATTGACTAAAACCACATAAATGATATTTTTTACATATTTTCTAGCACAACTTAAAGTGAAATCACATTGATTAATTTATAAATCCTTGCCATGGATATCGTTAATCCCACAAGTTCAGTCCCGAATACAGAGATCGTATTCAGGCTGCGGGATCGTTAGTCCTAATGTAGATTGCATCACTACTTCCTTACCTTTAGGCATGGCTTGCAACTCCCTATGTAGCCGTTGCTCTAGATCATCGACGGCGGCGGCGGCGGCGGCGTCGAGTCGCTGCGGCGAGAGGTCGGCGGCCGAGGAGCCCGACGACCAGTCGCCGGCGGCGGGTGCTTCGCCCCCCTGGCCCGGCGCCGTCGCATCGTCACCTTGCGGTACACCGCACTGACGCTTTCGGTACTCAGTTATAGAGAGCTGAAAATGGTGCCGATTTAGACGTCCGATTTTTCGTCAATTTGTCATCAGGGAAATTTACAGACCAACATAAACAAATGAGGGCCTTTGACAAATTTAGAACAAAATTGATTTTTATAATTTGGTTAAAATCATATCTGTGAAGAACTCTCGTCTGTCGCGCAGGGAAAAGGCCGCGCGGTCACTTGGAATGAATTATTCTCAAGATAGATGATATCAAAATCTAAATCAAATTTACTAAAAACTTATGAACAGTAGTGATTAATCATGACAGTCCTATTTTCTTTCTTGAACGACAACTCCTTTGATTTTTTTAAATGTTAATATCTCATTCAAATACACGTCTCATACATCCTATCGGTTTAGTATTTAATATTCAATAGATTAAATATTCCACAAAAACCTCATCTGTCAAGGAGCCGTTTGATGATCATAAATATGAAGTATTTAGCTACTTTGACCTAGTCAAAGATATATATCACAAAAAAGTGCATTAAATAAACTAAGTCACTATAAGAAAAATGGATAAATTAAATATTAATGTATTCAAAGTACTTCCATTAAACTTCAATCGTCTCTGACAAAATTTATAATTTTTATTAATAATTACCCACCCTTCTATTATTTTTAACAAGAAAACGTTAAATAATCGTCAATTTATCGAATAAAATATTTCAATAACAATGTTTTTTTTTTGGAGAAACACTTTGCTTTTAGATTACAAAGATATTTATGTGACAGTTACAAATCTGCATTATAGGGTTGGTGTTGATTAAGCTGTGTATCAATTAGGCAACATTTGTAAACTGTTTATAAACAAGTTAGTCCACACTAGCAAGTCGATACTAGGATATCGCCCGAGGAGGTAATAAAGTTATAAAGTAACCCTGCAAAACGCTCTTGCCCTCCACTTTAAGTGGGGAATACAGTAAGGTACAATGTTTATTTAAGGAATGTTGTCTAATAAATACCCTGACTTATAGTAGAACACCGATTCTATATTGACAACATGTGAAATATTCAATACATAGTATAAAACAAAGTCGCTTTCGCTGTCCCTATATGTATGCTTAAATCTTTAAAACTACGCAACGGATTTTGATGCGGTTTCTATCATAGATAGGGTGATTCAAAAGGAAGGTTTTTATGTATAATACAAGACCACGCGAGCGAAGCCGCTGGCGGAAAGATAGTAAACTTAAAAAGATAAATTTGGCTGATATCTATGTTAATAATGGGTCAGTTACATTTTACCAGCTATACCTACAAAACACCTGTCATGAGACCATTATCAAAAAATATTGTTATCTTACATGTGTATAAAGATAATTTACTTGAAAGAAAAAAGTTTTTTAAAAGTGGAATTTCCCATCACAACTTTGATAGAACAAAAAAAAATTTTTTTAGTATACCTGTAAAGCTGATACACAAATAATTATATAAAATATATGTAATATATCTCTACTACTCTAATGACAAACAATAAATGAAGAGGTCTTGATGTAGATAACATATCACATATTAAAAATACTGATAACAGAAAAAAGTGCATTAGATTATATTATCTATAACCTTGATCTTATTTTATAGTTAGTATACGACTAGGTTCAAGTGTTATATACTTAGTATACAATATGACTAGGTTCAAGTGTTATGGGAGATGTTTCATAATATTGAGTACATCAATATCCTCATTTGAACAACCATGACCAGGTGGACTCTACCCAGGGGTCTACATGACTCGAGTTTTGGGATTAAGGTGGAAATGAAGAAGGGGACCAGTAAAATTAAGAAAGTGGTATTCATTTCTGATTCTCTGATAAATATGGTATAACTATGATATGCTTTGTATCACATCACTAGGCTCTAGCGGTATAAAAGCGAGATAATAATGGAAGTGAACTTACCTTCCTTCTTATAGGTTTAGGTTTTTCAACAGGCGGAGGATTCAGTCTGGGGTCATTGGTGCGCGGACAGTACGGCTTGCACGTCGGCTTCGGTGTTGGAGTGGACAACAAGCTCGACTTGTTCGAACTCTTCAACACCCCCGATAGTATAACACTATTATTAGAGTCCATATTATTCACTCGCGTCAATATCTCATGAACGCTTTTCAGTTCATCCACAGGTGTGGTACTGTCCTTGTCAAATACATTACTATCTAAACTTGTAGTCCTATCTATTGCACTCTTTATTATAGACATATTAGGTACGTTTTCGTTAATGGGACTGGGGTCCAAGTTAAACGATTGGGACATGTTGCTGAAAATGCCGGAAAACAATCCGGTCGAGCTGAAGCGAGATGAAAACGGTAACGTCGACGTTTCGAGGACGGAAGGCCTCTCAATACTGCTCAATTTTTTCTCTTCGTGTTTCTCGATTATCGGCGATGCGGGCCTGATGGGTTTGATGGGTTTCATCGGTTCTTCAGGCAACGGTATCGTCTCGGGCGGCGGCACGAGGGGCATAGGATTCGGCTCCTCTGGTAGCGGTATATTTTCAGGTGCAGGCAGAGGTATCGACTCCACCGGCGGTAACGGTATGTTCTCCGGAGACACGTGTAACTTGTCGTCGTGTATAGAATTACTCAAGTCGTCATGAATATCTCCATTTATTTCCGGCGATTTTGAGTTCGTGTCCTGCTCAGTGCGCAACTGTATACTTATTTGGTCGTCCACCATGTTGAGATCAAAATTTAAATTAACTTTCTTCCGTTTCTCCTTTGGTTTCTTATTTCTACTTTTTAATATGAGTATGTTTTCAGTGTGAAATGAGTGGATTTTCTTCTGTATGTCGTCCATCTCGTCGCGTTGCGGTGACGAGTTGCCACTAGTGTCGGCGGATTGACAACTATTCGGTTTGTCGTTTGGACTATCTATACATTTAATGTCACTAATGCTATTCTCGTTAGATTCCTGGATTTTTGGCTGCGGTATAGTTGTTGTGTCGATTTCCATCGGGACGGCTTTATTATAATTGGTGTCGTCTATTTCTATATTATTGTTGTTAATTTTAAAATCTTCCGGTTTCGTTATCTCCGGCGGGATCTCTTCTTCTGGCGTAGGCACTCCTATTATTCTTCTGATGTGTTCACTATCGTGAGGACCTTTTATATTTACATTTAACACATCGTTGTCTATATTGCACTGATCGTCAGAACCTTGACCGCTATCCGATCGTGTTCTATCCCTGCCGTAAATACCTTCCATAATATTTCTCACTTTATATTGCCTATTGATAGAATTGGGGTCTTCTTTGACTGGAGAATCTTCAGAGGTCAACATCGGAGAAGTTTCTTCATTACACTGTAAAAAACAAAAGTTTTTAACATTCATTCATCAAATACCTATTTGATTAAATGAATAATGTATATATTAAATTGAAACCACTACTTACAGGCACAATAACATTACTCGGTTCACAAGACAACGATTCACGCGCTAGTCTTCTTTTCTTTAATGGTGTCACCATTTCATTTGGTGGTGATTCTGAAACAAACACATCTACATTTCAAAATAGTATTACTGTAGAACATTACTAATGTTTTCACTGAAAAGTACCAATATGGTAATACAAACCTGCAGATGGGGAGTCACTCTCCTCACTTATGGCTTGTCTCAGCCATCTCTTCTTGGCACTATGTTGAGGTATGACAGTAGGTGTCACTTCTACTACTTCAGTCGGAGGTGTACTTCTAGTGATTCTCTTGGACTTCTTGGGCGGTCTGTTTCTATCTCTGCCTGGTGTGCGGGGTGGCGACATCTGAGCGTTGTCTTCCTCGTGCTCTATACCTTGACCGGCGCTAAGATCTCCGATCATAGTTGATGCTACTTGAACAAGACTTTCTAACGACGGCGCCGAGACCAAGGACGGTCTGTAAGGCGACTGGTAAGGTGAAGGCGTCCGTTCTGGCGACCGCCCTACCCATTCCGTCGCCATAGTTTTCTTTGTTTTAGGCAGTTTGAAGGCAGATTCGACAGAACCGACGGCCGCTTCGACGAGCAGACACGCCGAACTTAAACTCAAATCCTGTAACAAAACGGCCGAGTTAACGAAAAGAAATTACGCGGAACAATATAAACTGATTACGAGCTTTCGAAAACTAACTTCTTAGGCTGCACATCTTGATCCATTGGTTTTCAGTGTAATCAGATATTATAAAATAAAATTATAACTACCATCAATCGATCAAGTTAACTCACCCTGCAATTAGCTACTTGACAGTTATAATAAACTATGATATGTATTGGAAATTACAAACAATAATTATGTCTTGCGATTGGGATAATATGTAGATTGCAAAAACCGAAACGCCGACGTCTATGATGGAGCATAGTGTGACGTCACATTTCAATAAATTAAATTTCAACTTCTTTACCTCTGTAGCGGGCTCCATCGGTCTGTCACGCGGGGGGGAGGATGGCGGGTTTGGTGCGCTGTCGCGTCGTGAGGGTGCGCGAGGTGGACTTCTGGCCGAAGCTTCGTCCCCTGAAGTCACCATATCACTATCCGCTGAATTCAAACGACGCCTGTTCGACTGTGATGTAGTCCGAGCCCGACCTTTACGTCTGTCGAATAAAGCAATCGTCTTATTGCAGTCGGGTAAAATACCCATTCCAATAGGCACCTGTTAGTTTTTGAAAAGCTATAAAATTACACAAGTATATGTTTAGGTATATAACCTAAACAGGTATGTTTTCTTTAAACATATGTATTTCAAATTATGATTACATTACTAATATTTAAAAGTAATCTTTGAATATGTTACAAAACACACAAAAAAAACTGTTATTATCGAATAATCATCTTTATAGGCTTAATATATAACGGTAAAGATAATTTGAATTTTACATTAAATCGTTACATAATCATTGGTGTATTCTATGTCAATACTAGTCAAGTTTATTCAGTCATATAACAAGGCTCGGAATTTTAAATGTGGTCATAGTGACCAACTTAACAAAATTAACCTACCGTCTCCTTTTCTTTGTGATATTATGAGTTTCTTCATCTTCATCTCTATCATTACCACTGGGATGTGGGTCAGACTCTCTACGTTTTTGTCGCTCTTTCACTTCTTGTTTCCTTTGCTGCGCTTTTTCCATTCTCTCAAACGCTTTCATTATTGCTTCCATCTTGCGTTCTTCACGAGTCTGAAAATAGAATAAAAAACTTGTTACTACTGTTTAAGCTTTTCCAAAACGAAAAAATTATAGTCTGAATTTTGTTACCATTTTCTTTTTGTCCTTTTCTTTAGACACTGTTGTAATTTTGTCTTGAGAATCATCAGTTTTATCATCTAAAGAGTCTTGATTGACACAAGTTCTACTAGATCGAGATGATCTATCATGGCAAGCAGACTTTGCAGCCATTTCTCGTGTTACTGGCCTATCGTCCTCTTGTTTGATATCTTTTTCAATTTCCTTCGATTTAATTTCTTCAATAAACTTTTCTGGTTTTTCTTCATCTGAGAAAATGTCATTTTCGTGTTTGATTTCAGGCTCTTTAACTTCTTCTATTACTGGTTTAGGCTCCTCAACAATAGGCTCAGGTATTTCTTCTACTTTAGTTATTATTGGTTTTGGTGTCAAAGGTATGGGTATTTCTTCCACTTTTTCAACTTCTTCTTCTTCTTCTTCTTTAAATTCTGTTTTTTCGAAGTCTGGTTCGTTCATTTCAAATTTGAGCTCCTCTTTTGCTATTAAATCAATTTCAGTTTTAATTTCTTCCACATGAGGTTCCTCTTTGATGGGTTCATCGAAAGTAAGTGCAGTGACAGCAGTTTTTATTGGTGACATTGGAGAAGATTCATGTTTAATTGGAGATTTCTTTTCAATTTTAATTGGTGATGAAAATAATTCTTTCACAGGAGTCATAACAGGTTCGGCAGGTGGTGAAAGAGGAGACGAAGTACTAAGGCACCTATTTCTGCTTCTCTTCTCTCGAGGTGGATAATCTACACTTTTTCTTGCAATAGGAGGGTTAAGACCGTTAATTTTACAATGCTTAGGATTTCCACAAGCGCATGGTTGTTTGCTCCCGTCAGAATCATGACCAACAGTAATTTCCGTGTCAGATTGTATTATTCCAATAGTAACTAAATATACATGTAGAGCGCCTTTTATAATACAATGTTGTAATTCTGCATTTGGCTTGCAGGACCTCCTTACGAATCTAGCTTCATTACCATATGTTCTTGTATCGATGCATATCTGCGTATTATCTTTAGGTAGCCTGTAGAAGAATACAAAAGGGCCAGGTTTTTGGCTTCCAGCACGAGCAGAGTTCTGTAACTGTGGTCTGTGCTGAGTTGACAGCATATATTTTCCTCTTAATTCTATTATTGGAGAATTTTCTTTTAAATCTTTAGTAGCAATAAGAATCTTTCCACCAGCATGGGGGACTGTTGTACAAAAATGTGCAGTTATAGCTGATGATACATTTGGTGTGTTACCAATTTTACTACTATATTTCATTATTTTAGCTCTAAGTTCTGGACTATAATGATTAGTCATGGCGAGTTCATATGAATCTTGCCAATGCGATTGATTAGACACATTAGAGTTATATTTGTTTCTGTTCAACATCATTTCCTTCTTACGTTTGACCCTTTTTTCAACTAATTTTCTTTTAGCCCCTTTTCTAATAATTTCAGCTTTTTTTGGTCTTTTAGGACCGCGTTTCGGTAACGTCAAAGTCGGTTGAGGTAAAGGTGGTAGCACTGGGAGACTTGAGTTATATGTGGTGACACATGATCCACTAGTATTAGTATAAGTAGTCACTGTGAGAAGACGTTTACGTCTTTGTCCAGGTAGACGACTACTCTCTGAAGAGTCTGTATCAGAAGCAGCACCTATTGCACTCAGTTCTTCTCGTTTTCTTAGTTGTATGGCACGCGCATGTCGGCGGTCTACTGGTCTAGGCTGACAGAGTTCGCACATGTAAATATCAGGTATGTTCTGTCTGTCGATACCCATGCAATCTACATGTTGCCATTCGCCGCATCGATCGCAGCATATCATATAACCATCGTCGTGTGTGAAATCGCAAATGCATCGAGTTTTTCCTTCTTCTTCGCCCTCTGGAGCAGTTTCCGTATCACTGCCACCTTGTTCAGGTGGTCTTCTATCGCCTTCAATAGATGAGATCACAGAAGCAGCATCATCTTCCTGAGCTACCACTGGTTGAGGTTTATAAGCCATTGCTCCCATTTGTATAGTAGACACAGGTATAAGAGCACTAGAGATGCTTGTGGGTACTGCTACTGGCAAATCATATGATGCTGTAGACATAATCACAGGAGACGTCCTTTTTAATGGACTGACTGGCGCAATATTGGGTGGAGGCGTTACGATAACTGGAGGTGCCGCTGCAACTGTAGTGGTAGGAGTCGATACAACCGGTTGTTTCTGAGCAGGCAGTGCATAAGTATGATCTAACATAATAAATGCTAGGGACTGGAACGAATACCGCCGCAACTCCTCAGACAAATTTGGTCTCTCTTCCATACCAATTATATCGTCAGCTGTAAGCAGTGTTGATTTATCACCACTGAAAAATAAAGTTTTTTTTTTAGTATAAAAAGTTCAAAACTAAATCTCAACTACAGCCAAATCACATGTTTGAAACAACAAATTTATTTTATAGCAATGGCCAAACACAGCATAGTCATATGCCATTGATCATAAAAAAACAAACTGTTGTGGCTTGTATCTATAATATATAAATTTATATGTATATATTTGAAATATGCTAATTAAGCCCTTCATTTGATACCCCACATGGAATGATTGAAGAATATTTTTTTTGTTTTTTACATTATGCTCTCTAGAGAGTGATGTTGCCAATTTGTTGTAACATCACATAGCCTGTGGTACTTGGACAACCAAGACACTTCTAATGAAGGCATCATTAGAAGTGTCTTACTTGTCCAGTTAGAATGAGTAGTGGTTTAAAAATTATAACAGAACCAGTGAAAATTCTTACATACATACCAGCCAAAATACTAGTCCTTTTTGCTTTGTTGTAGTCGGGTAAATGGAAATCATTATGTGAATATCAGAAAATTAAAATATAAAAAAATATATACTCACAAAACTATTCTTATTTGATTGTGCGTTTGTTTTAATCCAAGTGGTTCTTCAATCACAGCGGTATTTGGCGGTACTGGAGGTGATGGAGAGTTATTAAGAATTGGAGTTGGACTAGTCTGTAACATAAGCTTAGGCTGGGAAAGAGACTGCAATATTTGTGCTGTCAGTTGCTGATTGGCTGATACTTGTGACACAGTAGACAGTTGATTATCTGCTGTCCCATAGGTCTGTACATAGCGTAAGTTAGGAGTAGACCCTGATTGTACATAATGAGGACCCTTTGCCAAGCTTGTACTTATAGGTGCAGTAGAAATCAATACTGGACCACATGGTGATTGAAGTACCAAACGTTCACCTTTTGCTGGAAACTTTTGTATGGACATTTGTTGTTGACTCTTATGAGTTGGACTTCCTACTTTCTGTATGATCTTTGAAGCATTGGTGTCCACAACTCCATATGATGGCTGTTGGGTCTTATATGTGACATTGGCAACGGGCCATGTTTTTGTTTCAGATTTGTTGACAGTCCCAGTTTGCTGTATTATTTTAATAGCTCTAGACTGATTTTTCTGGCTAGACACTTGGCTAGAAGTCTTAGGTCCTTTGAAAGTATTAACAGATTTTTTTCCCGAATGTACAGACATTTTGTTTGGACCAGACACTACACGAGATAATATATGGCATTGTGTATTTCCTGAAGAAGCAGCTACCAAAGTACTCACATTAGCACCATTATTTACTTTGTTTAGAGTTTTGTTTAGATTTGTGCCCTTTGTAAAGGTGTGACTGTAAGATACATTCTTAACTGGACTGCTATTGATAATATTAGGGCCAAGCGTCGAGCAACCAATCAATGATTGACTCTTTGGGGATTTAGCACAAAGTACTGAATTATTCAAATGTTTCTGTGTCACTACATTTGGACTGAATTTATAAATATGATTCTGTGTACCATACACTGGAGTAGCAATTTCTTTTCCTGTAATATATTGTTGTGAGTAATTTGCATTCTTTGGAAGTGATATATTGCTTAGTATTTGGACTTTAGAAGTCTTCGGTCTACTTATATAGCTTGTCTCTGTGACAATATTGGCTCTTCTTGCTCCTTGACTGGCATCATGGACATAACTGTCACTGATTATGATTTGCGAAACACCTGCTTGAGGCCTTTCATCGTCACTCTTATTATCGGTAGTAGCAGCACTAGTAGCAAGAATTGTAGGCAACCAGAGAGTCTGACCACCAGATACATCTTGAGAGACATTATGTATAGCTGTCAAATTTCCAACACTCGGGTTAACATTAATAGTGAAGTTTTGAGGTAACTTTGACACATTGTGAACAATAGCAGTATTCAGTGGAGCTTGAATAAGAGTTGCCGGGTTCTCTACATAGTTACCATCATTTGAATCATCTCCTTCTTGTATCATTGGGTATGCAATATGACCAATATTATCAATGGCTGCCTCCTCAATCCTGACTATACCTGATAGAGAATCAACAGACATCTCGGTTTCACAAGTTTTCTCTGCAATATGATATTCTACTTCTTTATCTACTTTGTTGTGTACAGATTGTATAATACTTTCAGGATTAGTGGAATCAGGCTCAGGATCGCCGTTAGTGGGAGAAGTGGGCAATGCCCTTAGCACAGGAGGTCTAATATTTGAAATATTCATAGTATCTGTTAGTTTGTGTTCCAATACATTTTCACTGGAGGTGGTCGGCCCGTAATCCTATAACCAAAACATACATAAAAGTATTAGAAAATACTAGATAAATTTACACAATCTGTTCATTTCTAGAACATTCCTTTTTTTTAATATAATTTTTAGGTATATGGTTCTTTGAACAGCAGCCACAAATCCAAAATATTTATACTTTTAAAGCAATACACTAGTAGTTATCTTTGTCACTCATTCAATGAATTTATTATCATATAATCAACATATATTTCTACATTAATACACACTTGAATAATGAAATCACAATCATATAAAATGCACTTCATAAAAGGTAATGATAGAAATACTGAAGAGTAAGTTTTAGCACTACTCACCAAGCACTAAAAACAATATTGGCAATTAATGTTAAGGGATTATAATAAATACACTTCTTTCTTTAAAACTTTATTTAATATAATTATTTATTGTAGTCTTCATACTGCAACACAAACTAGAAATGAAGATTTTAATACATGAAACTTTAACATGACAAACCAGAAAAGTATTAGAATCTTCTAAGAAATAAATCTATGAAATATTATTTATTATTGGAATAAAACTACAGCAAATGGGATGCATATGCACAAAATAGGTGGATATATAAGATGAAGATGTAGTAAATACTATAATTAATAAATATTATAATAATACTCACTTGCCGGGCCGCTGTTTCATATCCTGATGAAGCTGACATGCTGTAAATACTATCATCTTGGGTCAAGCCCGAGATGACGCCTTGGAGAGCACCTCCGCCTCCAAACTTATTTTATGTGACTGCAATCGGAAATTGCATTTTTATTCACTATCTTGAAATAGTCACTTACACGAGAAAGGGACATCATAATTTTCTTCACAAAATATTTTTAGTCCACTAAGAGTATATAATACGACCCTGGAGGTCATTGTTCCAGAAAAAAGCAGAAAGTCATATCATATTGTTTCCTACGAGAAAATATCACAAATAACACAAATATAATAACAAAAGTAGCAGAGATATCCAGATAAATACATAAAATAAGTGAATAGGTTAATTCACTGCCGCCATTATTGTCGCACGGAAACTTGAAATGTCTTTCTAATAAACATCAAAAAAGTAAACACTAACCTAAATTAATAGAAATTACTGAAATAAAAGCTTATTTTTTGATAACCACGCCGATTACTCGTCTAGTAAGATGTCTGAATTTGCTTAGTAACAAAGAAATGTAAGATATAAGTACATACTAAAAATGAGGTTTGTATATTTTTCGAAGCGTAAGAAATTCATCAATGAGTGAAGTATAAAAATGTAACGCTATTTTAAGCATATTAAGAACAAATACGACGAATATTAGAATTTATATGACAACATCACAAAAGCTTCGAACTACCAAATCCAGATGTAAACACTTTTATAGAAATTATCAAAAGAATTCATCACTAACCTGTAAACAAAAGATTTATTAACACTCACGATCTGGCGAAACGATTCCCATCAAATAATTGCATATCACAAATGAAATAGGCCTCAAAGTTCGTAACTACGACCAAAACATTCACAAGAGTCGAAGATGGCGGCCATTGCATTTTCTTGATACAAAACAACACAGGGCCTTTGGAAACATGTCCTAGTACTACTTATATCCGGTCAAACTCAAGTTCTTTTAAAAATAAACCAAAATAAATTAATAAAATTGAAGCAATATTCATCAAAAATGATACAATAAAGTAATTATTTTGTTTGTTTAAATATATTTTTATAAAATCTCTAAATACCAAGATAATATAAGTATGAAAATTATGATATTTGTGATCTAGAAAACTTTTTTTCCGGATATGGTTCATAGAATACCATTTTTTTTTACTTTTAACTCCTTTAGCAAAGGAATTTAAATGACTAAAATGTGAACATGACAATGTTTAAGGATATGGCAACTTACAATTTGTAATGGCAACTTGACATCAAAATAGGTATACTGTTGAAATAAGACGTTTCATTTTAACCTTTATTCTTGTTGTTTCATCCATGAAGCCTTGAAAGGGAAGTGTAAATATTAAAGATTCATCTTTAATTACTTATGCGCGTTTCCGATGAGTCACTAAATGACCATTTACTTTCTTATGCGCCAACTTTTCATCGTTTATCGCGATCAACTATAAATGAACATGCAAACAACGGCTGTTGCTTTCACTAATTTTATTATTATAATTTATTTATAAGTTATCGACGCCAACAGAACTGTGTTTATTAATTTTATTTAGAATAAGAACTTTATCGAGCCTAACGTAAAACAAAAGCAACACTAGTAATGGTTGCTTTTAACTTGTAATTTAAATGAATCCAATGAAATCCAGTATGTAATGCATGTGCTGAATTTCTCTATGTGCAATAATATCTATATAAATAAGTTTTATCTAGACTATACCTTACTATAGTACTACAAAAGTATAAGTGTGTTTGTTTGTCCGTCTATCACGTCAAAATTAGGCAACGGCTTATTGTTATCTTAGTGTGATTAGATTTCTATGTGGACATAAATAAAGGACTGGAGAGTGGCATTTGCTACTTTTTATCTCTTTCTTTAAGTTTAACTTAACTTTTTATCTCCAACTATTACTCTTTAACTCTTTTAACACTAACTCTAACTTTTTATCTCTTTCCACTAAAAGGGGGGGGGATTTTTGTATGGAGCGTTTCGCCATTTTCAAGGCAGAAAATTAAAACTTCGTATAGAGACTCTTTATGGCCAACAATACTTGCACTATTTTTTTCTAAAATCTGCATTCCCTTAAAAGGGGGGTGACATTTTATATTGGAATTTTCGCAGTGCTTAAGAACGGCCTATTTGTTGCTGAATAGAATTCGGTTGTCATTTTCTTTTGGAAATTGCCCCCACCCACTTTCATACGGGACTTTCGTTAGTTTTCACGGTAAATAACTGAAAAATTCGTGTACAAACGAAAAATCCTTGCATCAAGATTTTTTGAAATCTTCTATAATGAAGAAGTATTTAAAAAATTAAAAATCAAACTATATGTCACCAGCGATCTTTGGATCTTGTCTATTATATTCATTCAAATTTGGTTTATGACGTAATAATAGTAAATTGAGTATCGATAATTAATAAATATGACATCGTTTCATGTTTCTTATAATATCTAACTTTAAAACTAAGGCGGGAGATCTTGTACTGAGAAGAACCAGCAAGAAACTCAGCAAGGGCTGCTTTTATCTCCCTATTTTAGTTCAACAGAGAAGTCTTATTGGATTGTGACTAAAGTACGCAATGAAGTTACTTTCTGTTACAATATCTTTGCTTTAAAGTCATGAATTGACGTTTAGATCTTACTATTTGTGCTGCCATCTAGTGACATATTTTTTGTAGTTTCTTTATTTTTTTGTAATACTTTCTCATTGAAGTAAAGAGAATAAAGAATAAAGTTTTCGGTGTTGTTTTCTGATAACTCATATGAATATCGAGTTGAAATTAAATTAATTCGAGTTACGCAAACGCAACTTGATTAACACGAACTAATCATTGAATATTCTTTTTTATTTGTACAATTCCAAAAATAGAAACTAACATAATTAGTAACACATTTTATAGGCATAATAGGTTTATTTTAATTTCAACAAATAACATTTTTTTTTGTATGTACATGACTGTTTGAAGCCTAAAATAAATGAAAAAATTATAATAAGGTTTTTTAAAAGTTATGGAATTCAATAAAATTAATGCTGTGAAATTATTGAAATTGGCATTTAGCTATGGTATAAAATAATATTACCGTGAAATAGTTTTTATAAATAAAATACTTATGTCATAGTAGGTCTAGGATTTTTTCAGTATAATATTTAACAAAAGTTCTGAAAACAATAGCAACTATACTCCATTCATTATAGCATTAGACAGAAGTTAAATAAGGTTCTTTTTGTGGTATACCTACTTTGTGACAAATATCAATAATCATGTTACTTTTAAGACTGACGGCTAATTTGCTACATATCCACTTAAATACCAGCTGCTATACTTAACTGTTGTCATTTAAGCTATCTATTAAACAAATTTATGAGTATATGACTAACTTAAATGATTTAATAACTATTACAATAAAAAGTGTTCATCGTAAAGAACCTAAAGAAGCAGGGTTGGATAGTTTCGGCACGATTCTCATGTCACTATAACTCTACCAAATTTAAAACGTTGCCTAACCCCTTCAAACGTTTCGGTAGTACAGCTTTTTAATTTTGTCAGACTATTATTTATTCATAATTGTTAAAATCATAATCTGGGATTGTCATCCATTGTGAATGCTACTGCCTTTCTTGTTGATTTGCCGTTTTCCGTGATGTTATTGTTTTATTTTTGTTGTTAAGTTTTAGTAAATATGGACGATGCCGGTGCAGGCCCGAGTGGCCTACAAAAATTACGCTCTAAGCCCCCATACCTACCCTCAAAGTTTGACATTTCAGTGAGTTTTTCTAATGTCTTCATCAGTAGTCTAACTAATTACACTTACAATTAGAATTTATCAAAACACACAGATAGTTTCAGTTTTAGTTCCATGTTGGCTTGGGACTAAAAGATGAATTATAAAATGCTGGCCTCATCTCAACCCCGAGGTATCATAAAAAATGGAAAATTGCCCAGCTCTTTCAGACTACCTAACGTTCAAAGTTTCAACAAAACTAATATATATTTTTTAAATTTATCTTGAAAATAAAATGTTTTGCACTGCTGCTTCTATGATCCTCTTTTTTCTAATGTTATAGTGAATGGAGTATAGGTAAGTTGGTTTTATTGCTATCAGTTGTTTGTTGAACTTATAGCAACAAACTTATATCAATTCTCATTCATATTTTTATATTATGTCTGGTGAATGAATTAATTGGGTTTATTAATCAGCAACAAAGGTCATAAAAACGATAATTATAATAAAAAATCCGTTTAATATCTAAATACTTACCCGATATTTATTAAATATACGAGTAGTCGTACAAACTAACATGACTTCTGGCTAAAATGATGTTTGTGCAAAGTATAAGTTGCAAATAAGTTTTTCTTTCGAAATGAGGAACAATTTAAAAAAAAAATTAGTTCCTGAAATCAATATAGATGTCGCCATGGTACGTTCTTGATTTCTCCATGACAACCTTTCCGGTTTGCTTTCAAGTTTAAAAGTAAAGAAGATTTTAAAACTCAATAAGCCAGATTACGATTACTATATTACGATTATTACATTACGATTACTATTTTAATTCGTACGGGGAGTGTGTGCTATTTTGGTTCTTACAATAATATTATCAATAATGGATTGACTTTCTACTCAACCTACTCTAGAAATCAGTTTTATTGAAATGTATTACTTATAAAGGACCTAGAGTAGTCAGGCTCTCTTAAAAATCTCTGCGGTGGTAAAGTATGCGTCGGGTCGTTACCTACCCTCAAATATAGATGAGCGAAGCGATGGCTGACTAGCGATGTTAAAAAATAATCGATTTTTATTTTAATATAATCGATTTTCCATGTCATATAAATCGATTTTTAACAAATCGATTAAATAAATTGCGCGTTTAAATCGATTTTTATAAATAGCATCATCTATGCGCCAAATGAAAAAACTCGAAGCATTATTACTTAAAAGTTGATTATATAAAAACGGTGCCATCTGTAGGTATGTAGGTATATATGATCGACATAAGAATAACATCGATGTTGACATCGATATTATCATCGTAAGTCCAACATCGATGTTTGATATTTATCGAAAACTAAACATTTACATTATGACAATTTTTTTTTTATTATTATATTTAATTTTTTGCGAAAATAAGGTTGTCATTTAATTTTTATTATTATATAACGTTTAAAGATACTGAGAATTTCTATCAATAATGATATTTGGTTTTATTATTCCTTACCTTGAAAGTTTAAAAGAACATTTGCTTTGATTTTTAGTTTTGAATTGTCAATTTTTTTATCCATATTATTTTTTTTTTTAATCTGATTAATTGTTAATATGAATCTTTTAAGTTTATTATTGGAATATGCAAAGCATGTAGGATATAAATAATAGAAAAAAAAACTATTTTTTCGCAATAATCGATTATTTATTTTCATTAAAATCGATTATTGACAAATCGATTTATAATTTATAAAAGAAAATCGAATTTTATTAAATCGATTATTTTCTATTAATCTCACATCCCTATGGCTGACTCATGTGTCAAGCTCGTCAAAGGGTGCCAGTGGGGTAAAGTCTGCACTGGACTACTTAATTTTGTCCATTTTCTTTTATTAAGAATATTGTTTATTGATTTGTCAATGAGTATGTGGGATTGCTGATATTATAAAGGAAAGTGTCTTCATAGTCTAAAGGAAGTATTTAAAAAAAAAAAATTAGTTCACGAAATCAAACTAGGTGTCGCTACGGTACGTTCTTGATTTCTCCATGACAAAATTTGTTTTCAAAACACAATAAACAATTCTTATTCTATTTATACTTTATCATATTCGTATTGATATCTAAGTTTCGAACTATTCAAATTTCAGTTTTTTAATATTATGGTTAAAATGAACGGAAATG